CTCTCTCTCTCTCTCTCTCTCTCTCTCTCTCTCTCTCTCTCTCTTTCCACGAAGTCTCTACACTCCAGGCTGATCTTGCCACATTCCCACTTTAGCCCCCTGTTCAACCACGTCCCGCCCCTCCTTCTGTACCTTGCAAGAAAATGATTGGAGGACTCCTTACCTTACTTCTTTGCCCAAGCAGCCAATAGGCTGGTGCGTCTCCAGCTGCGGTCCGAGCTGTACAAGGATAAGAGGGCTCTAAGGCAACTCCTGGAACTGAAGAAACTGTCAAAAATGTGCAGAGCCAGTGAATGCAAAGTTCTGGGAGGGAGGGACTCGCTGGGGGAGTGACATGCGTGTCTGGGGGATCTTACTGAGGGGCCCCAGAGTGCGCAGATAATAAACGGCTGCAGGCAGTTTGTTTTGGTTCTCTGAGAGTGCTCGAAAAGTCTGTCCACATGGTAGTGGGCATTCTTCCTTTCAGAATGATTCTCAGGCTCCCAAGAATACAGTTTCTCCAGGAAGAACTTTGCTAAAATAGACTGGAAATTATATGGGGGGAGCTTGGAAGAGTTTAGCACGCTAGACTCGGAGTTAGGAAAGCCTGGGTTCAGATATTGCCCCAGACACTCAGTATATGTTTAACTCTGGGCAAGTCAATTTAACTCTCTGGGGTTCAGTTTCCTCCTTTATAAAATGGGGACAATGTTCTTTTTTTTTTTTTTTTTTAGTGCTTTTCTTAGAGTCATCATGAGGTTCAGATGTATTACCATATACCTAAAGCGTTTTGTAAATTTTAACTTCCACATGTATGCCTGTTATCACTATTAGTGTTTGAGAGGCAGCCTGGCATAATGAATAGAGTGCCAACTTTGGTGTCAGGAAATCTGGGCTCCATTCTTGCCTCTAACATGCAGTATACTAGTTGTATTACCACTCAAGCTCTTGGGGTCCCAGCCACCTCACACAAACTGCTTGTGTGAGCAGAATTGCTGATTTGTACCTAAGAGGAGGATTTCCATACTTGGGGTTTGCTCCTCAAATGAAATCACCAGTCCAGTTTGGACCAGGAGTGAATGCAACAGGGAGAACACAAGATTAGAGACCACCATCACACTTCCCTCCCTCTCCCCCATTCTTGGTCTCCGTGTAGTCAGCGTTTAAACATTTTTCCTCTTTCACCATAACCAAGGATTGTTCTTAGCTCCCTGTATTCCTCATGGACTTTGGTCAAAGGAGTGGGTGGTAGCATTAGAAAGAACAGGTTCTGGGGCAGCTAGGTGGCGCAGTGGATAGAGCACTGGCACTGAAGTCAGGAGGACCTGAATTCAAATCTGGCCTCAGACATATGACACTTACTAGCTGTGTGACCCTGGGCAAGTCACTTAACCCCAATTGCCTCACTGAAAAGCAAAAATTAAAAAAAAGAAAAGAAAAGAAATAACAGGTTCTGTTGATGCTTTCAAGTTTGAAATAACAATTTACCCAAATGTTGGGATCATGAATATAAAGCTGAAAAGACTTTGGAGGTCAAATTCTTTTTACAGAAGTTAGGTGACTTACTCAAGACCACATGACACCCATGTCTTGGGTTTCTGTTCTCCAGGTCAATTGTTAGCACAATATTGGGCAAAATGCCCTGGACTTGAAGTGGTAATACCTGCTGCCATACTTAGTAGTTGTGTGATTCAGACATGTTACCTAACCTCTGAACCTTAGCTCCCTCATCTATAAAATGAGGGAAATTATAGTTGTATTACCTCTTCACATGTGCTTTGGAAACCTATGAAAATGTGAGTTTTCATATTGGGTGCCAGGAGAAAAAACATAAAAGGCAAGTCACTTGCTTTTAATGAGCAATCATTAGCAGAATAGAATTTCTCTGGGTGTGATTGTCTGTATTTCCCAAACATGTTTGTTAGCTTTCTGTTAGAAGAGGAACTGGACTACAAGAGAACTGGGGCTAGATTTGAGGTCAAAGGTCCCGGGTTCAAATACCAGCTTTGCTACTTCCTACCTGTATGACTTTAAGGAAGTCACACCATCTCTCTGGGTCTCAGTTTCCTCATCTGAAAAATACAAAGATTGGAATCAGTGATCCATTAAGTTGTTCCCAATTCTAAAATCTTGCAATCCTAGGATCTAGATGACCTCCATGACCCCTTCTAGTTCTAGACCCATGATCCTGTAGTCTGAAGTCTGAATCATAGAAAACTGGAGAATCGAAAAACAAACGACGTTCTCCGATACTGTAAGTTTAGTGGTTATGAGGTGAAACCCTGCGGAACTCTAGCCAGCTAATAAGCACTAGTGGATGTCTATGGGAAAATGGAAAAACTATCTAAAGCTTCAGGAAATGAGGTAGGACTGGGAAGTTACCAGGGGCAATGGGGAGCAGACAGGGAAACCGACAGTAGGAAAGCAGGGTAGTGAGGGTGGAGAAAGAAGTTCCTATCCTGAAGGAAAGACAATATTGTCTAAAGCAAATCCCCTTATGCAATAATGGAGAGGCAGTGTGGTACGGTGGAATGAACACTGGATTTGGCATGACTTACTCCCTATTGGGTAAGCCATTAACTTCTTTGGGCCTTAGTTTCCTCATCTGTAAAATACAAAGATTGGAATCAGTGATCCCTTAAGTTGTTCCCAATTCTAAAATCTTACAATCCTAGGATCCTAAGAACCATGCCAATGTAGAATGAGAAATGATTAAGGTTTGGAAACGAACTGCAAGTTCCCATGAGAAGTCTTAAAGACACACAGAAATTTTGAAAATCACTGTCTGATTTTTTTTTTCTGTAATTTTAAATCACAGTTGCTATTAGTTTTCGTTGTGCCTTCACAAAAATGGGATGTTTTGGATGCAAGTCCAGAATGTTTGTGGTTTTCCAGCATTCCTCATGACCAGCAGCTAGTCTGTCTCCTCCATCATACTACTGCTGGAGAGCTAGACTTTGCATTCTTGAGCCAGTTTCCACTTGAGCTTTGGT